GGACAAAAACAAGGCTTCCCTCGTCATCGAGAGATGGACTGCGTCATGATTAAACCTGGCCGAATTCCCTGTTTCCCTTGATTGCATCCCACGTGCACTCAACGAGGAAGACGTTGAGTGGCATGTTTTGCTTCAGCCCCCAAGATCCACAGCTCCGCCGTTGTCGGTCTCGAAGTCCGTTTTGGTAGGGATTGACCTGACCAACGTTCCTGTCCATTGGAGGCTTTTTGCATCGACATACATCCGTCAGTATGAGCTGCTGTTGGTTTGCGAAAGAAGGGAAAGTTTTCTACCCGGAAACGCTAGCTAAGCACCTAAAAATAGGAGATGACGGGAAACGTTCCATCTGCCGGTACACTAAAAAAACTCTCCCCGTCGGCCTTCAGGTCTACCAGTCTAGCGGAATGCGCCGGTTGCCATCGATTCAGCGGCGTCTCTGCCCTTTTCATCATTGTTTTGTCGGCTATGGTTCCATGACATACAACGTTAGCCCTTGTCCCCTATGGCTGCGCTTTTGCCAGTTCCGATTTGGTTCTTCGATGGCTAACACAGGATCAGCTTGTGCCCGCACCACATCCACCTGTCGAACCGCCGACACGTCCATCGCCGAGAATCAGCTCCGTGTGAGACGCGGGGGCCATCGGGAATTATCAGGACCCTGGTTCGTCGCCGTCTTCACTCTTCAGGCGTTGCAGATTTCTCTAGGAGAGAGACAGTGGATCGAACCACCTGTGTGCTCTATCAGCGCCAGTCAATAGAGCCTCGTGAGCATCTGCAACGCCAGCATATCCCCGCAAAAAGACGTTCGGCGGACCCGCGAGTCAGGGGGATCCGCATAGAAAAGACCCCTTTTTGCAGTAGAATACGAGCAGGCTGAGGACTAGCGTCCTCGGCAATGCAGTCAATGCCTTGGATCCACTGGTCATGTTCAGAAAGAAGATGGAAGTTCTTCGTCTGCTGCGTTGGTTACGATCAGTCTTGCCCCCATCATCTTCAACGACCACATTATTGAGGGGCTTGCAGCGACTGTCACTGATGCGCTGAAGAAGAAGCGCTGTCGCCCACCTTTGTTGCCTGTCTCGGGAATCGCAAACGAGGTCAGGAAGGTGCGGTGATGCTGGCACGCCTTGGCCTCGTAGGGCTGCTGGCCAGCTGCGCCTCTGGTGCCTATGTTCAATGGCAAACGTGCGACGAAGTCTCATCCAGAAACGATCCTTTCGCCCCTACGAGCCTCGATGCGAAGTTAAGACAGCTAGATGACGGAGATGAGCGACTATCATTTCGGGTAGGGCGATGGATCGAAGAAGAAGAATGCGAGGAAATCGCCCGAATGATGCCCGCAGCGGCTCTAGAAATCCAGATGCTGGGACGATCATCGGCCTTCAGCGCAAAGACTAATACGACATGCGCAAAGCTCAACTTTGCCAAAGGCTGGAAGTCGACCATGCGAAACCCGGCGAGTCTGTACGTCAACTTCGAAACCGATATTGGCCGCCTGCCTCCATTGTCGACATTCCATGCGACGCTGCATCTGCAGAGCAACGACTCCGAAGAGATCAGCTGCCGACAAGCAAACATAACTCCTACGCTCGATCCGACCACGATATCCGCAATTGGCTACACGACATGGGGCGTTTTCCTCTTCGTGTTTCTTGTCGGCGTCTTGCGCTCCGTCTACAGTGCCCCAGTGACGCTCGACGAGGAGCAGCGTTCCATACGGACGGTCCTTCCGAACGTCGGCGATTGCTTGCAGTACATCCAATTTGTCTTCCTGACTGGTGGGCTCAGCCTCCGGTATCCCGGCTTCTACCAGCCTGTGGTCAGCAACTTGAATTGGTTCTCGCTTTTCGTGGTTGGGCCTGTTACACACGGGGTGACTTATGACAAAGTCCAGGATGGAATCTACGTCATGAATGGCACGTATGGCGGTACATTTGGTCTGGAGCTGATGACTCAAATTGCAGGTGCTCCTATGACGATGGATACCTGGATCAATATGGTTGTTCTCATGGTGATTGTTGCTCTCGGCTGCGCCGTGGTGATCGAGGTCGTGTGGCTCGTGAATCGTCACCGAAATTCCGATGGCGAGGTTTCTGAATCAACTGTCGGCTTGCGACACACTTTTAGCCGTGTCCTTCGAATCATACTGTCCTACTTCATGTTGCCCTTGGCGGCCCTCTCCTTTTATCAGCTGGACCACGCGTCGTTCTTGCCAGCATACCATACGTCACTCGCAGTGGCGCTCATTGTTGCCATGATGGGCGCGTTTATTTGGCTTCTCCGTCAAATTCCTACTCACAGTCTTGGCGTCTTGATTTTCGACAGCACGAAGCGGTATAGACGGATCGTGCCTACTGAGGACTTCCGACGACATGACGAGACCTTCATTCTCATCCTATTCGTTCTGGTTTTCGTCCGTGGCGCGGCCATCGGCGGGTTGCAGATCTCGGGCCCGGCGCAGCTGGCCGTCCTTGGCTCATGCGAACTTCTGCTCTTAGCGAGTATTGCCGGGTTCCAGGCCTATTCTACCTTTTCCAATGGCGCGATTGCGGCAACCATGCGCCTCTGCAGCTTAATATTCATGGTGTCGTTCCTGCCGGACCTTGCGGGACACGAGACGAAAAGCGCCATCGGCTACTTGCTTCTGGCACTGCATACCGGCATGCTTCTATTGGGCTTCTTTGTCCCGGCGGTCTGCGACCTTGTTGCGCTGTGCAAGACTTGGTGGAAAGCTCCAAGGCCTGACGTACGTTGTCTGTCTACTTTTGCAATACATCATCTGACAATATATAGGTATATGGACTCCGACAGCTTAGACGTCGTCAGGTATCGAGAACAAACCTTTCTACAATGTACGACGCCGACAGCTCCTACGGGTTGCCCTCTGAGCACGACGCATTCGGGGAACCTGCTGCTGGCTACCTTCACCCAACGTACCGCCCTGATAGTCCCAGCACATTGCGTCTGAATTCATCAACTACATCAAGTCGATACTATCGCCCTCCTCGCTCACCATCGCGTGGGACGTCCATCTCTTCTTCCGATTACTATCGAAGATCCGAAAGCATTGCGTCGCCAGCTTCGTCTGCTTACCCACCATCGAGAAGCACATCCGCATCCGCATCCACCACCCTGGCAGAGAAGCGATCCATCCAGCGTTCCGAGTCCATCATGTCGCCGGTTAGGCTATCAGAGGAATCAATACAAGAAGAGGATTCGGCCATTGAGCCTCAGACATCATCGACTAAGGCCGATGGAAGGCCACTTGGTCCACGATGGAGCGACTACTCGTTCCGCGAAGCCGACCTATACTACGGCGCCCCTAGACCGGCGCCCGCCACACGAGCATCTGAAGAAATTCCCCGCCCTCCTGCTCCCAAGCCATCACTTCGATCTACTTCTGGTATTTGGGCCAAATTCACTGGCCAGCCGAGTATAGAGCACGGATTTCAGGTCGTGAGGCCACCTCGACCTGAGCAGGGCTTTGTTGTTGTCAGACCTAACAGGCCAAGCAACCTCAGCAGTAGCTCAAGCTCGAGCGATGAAGAGACGGGATGATGTTAATCATATGAGGCGGCACACGAGAATCGTTGTTTACACAGACGGTTGACGTGACGTCGGTTTTCTTATCGGAAGGGGCGCAACAGAGCAGAATAGCTCCAGATGAAATTCAGTACATATTTATAATCGAGCCGATAAACATATTAATCAGGCGTCTGCATTCCCACTTACTTCAACCGTCGTCACTCAATTCACCTGCTTGCGCATCAGTGGGGATCTGCACGTCTCAATCCAAGGTTGTCTGTGGCCGCTGGGCAACGCTCACCTTGCTGGAAGCAAGATACAAAGTGAACATTTGGTACTTCCGATGGATGAGCTGAACTTACATACACGCACGTCTCTTCGATCGGACTTCATCCCATCACCTCACTCCTTCTAACCCAATTTGGGATAAAATATCCAGCTGGAGCCATGATGTCGTGTCAGCCCATTTTTGGCAGGTTGTCAAGCAGCTGTGGCCATGGCATTCTGGGGCTCCATCTCAGTGGCGACCGGCGCGCGCGCGGCAGATCAGCATGGATGTGGACTGCCTAAACAGGCGCGGTCCCCGGCGACGGGGGTCCCATTGCTTTTGATGATCCTTCCCGCGGCTGTCCTGAGATGGAGATGCAGTGCGGAATGATGCCGGAACGCATTTGCTGATGAGAGTGGGCGATTAAGATGAGTGTCTGAAAATCTTTGGGTTGTGCTGAGAACGTTGACGTGCTGAACTTTGGATTCTTAACTTCTAGGATGACTTTGACCTCTCTGAACGAAGTGCAATGAACCCTTTGGACTCTTTTCATCGCTTCCAACATCGAGCCAACCCAGATCAGATCTGCCGCGGCTTGCGGATTCCATCGGGGGTCCCGATCTGAGCAATCAACATGGAAGGTTGCACTCGACGACCCTCCCGTCGACAGGGAATCGCCCATAAGAGAATCGGCTCACCCAATCCCCATCTCATCAGCCCATTGCCCTTCGACTGAAAAAAATTCACAGCAATACCAAAAATTGGCTGGGGCCCAATTCCGTTTCCCCACAACCCGTTGATGTTTTGTTGGTGTGAAAGGGGGCCAGGCCAGGGACCACTGGGAAATCTTTCGACAACGCCATTTCTGCTTAAGTGAGCGCAGAAAACCGAAGCAACAGCGATCGCTCTCGGAAGTATTTTGCCAATGCCGAACGTGTTTTCCGATCTCTCTTGTGTGTCTCTGTTCCACTCCATGCATGCCAATCCTACCTAATCCTCAACACTGGCTCCCCTTTCAATCACTTAAACTTTTTTCACCTTTCACTTTGATCCTTCGCGCATCCCTTGTGTCTCAGCACCCTCTTTTTGGCGCTTTTATCGCGGCTATTGCGACGGCGACTCTTCGGAACCAGCAGCAGCACACACAAACAAGGTTTCGGCGCTTGTTGCTCTAAGTCAGACCCGGCTCGGATGACCTGGCCCGGCAATGTCTTCGGCGCCGAATGAGAGCCCAAGGGGGCAGAATGAGAAGGACGCCGCTGCCACCACGGCACAAGATGCCTCCGTTGTCGTCGCTGACAACGGCAGCACCAACGACAGCCCGCCGACGTCGTCTTCACAAGCATCACCACCAGCAGAAAAGCCCGCCGCCCCTGCTGGGCCGCCAAACGGTGGTTTGCAGGCATGGCTCCACATTCTCGGGTCGTTTCTGTTGTACTTCAACACATGGGGTAAGTCTGGGATGGACGGCCGCGATGCAACACCATCGTGAGCCGGCGGACGCGTGAGCGCCTTTATAATGGATGAGCCCTGGCTAACACGACTTCCCAGGTCTGATATCCAGCTTCGGCGCCTTTCAGGCGTACTACGCGTCTGATATCTTGCGCCACAACACCGCGTTCCAGATCTCGACCATTGGCTCTCTGCAGAACTTCCTGATGGTCTTTCTGGGCTTCATCATCGGGCCCATCTTCGACCTCGGCTACTCGCGCTACCTGCTCATCATCGGCTCGCTGCTCGTCCTCGTCGGACTCATTCTGCAAGCCTTCTGCCAGAATCTGTGGCAATTCCTCCTCTGCCAGGGCCTCATCATCGGCATCGGGACAGGCTGCCTCTCCACCCTCGGCGTCGCCCTCCCCTCGCAATGGTTCTCGACAAGACTGCCCCTGGCCAACGGCATCGCGGCCAACGGTAGCGGCGTAGGAGGGTAAGCATCACCATCCCCTTCCCACAAACCGACTCAGCTAACAAACCTCCCAGCCTCGTCCTGCCCGCCCTCTTTCGCGCGATGCAGCCCAAGATAGGCTTCCGCTGGACCGTCCTCGTCTTCGCCCTGATCTCCCTCGTGACTCTCGGCGTCTCCCTCCTCGTCATCAAGACCTCCTCCCTCAAGACGCTGCCGGCCCGCCGCCCCTGGATCGACCGCTCCGTCTTCCGCGACGCGCCCTTCCTCCTCTTCCTCGGCGCCTGCTGCCTCCTCTTCCTCGGCATGTATACCCCCTACGTCTACGTGCAATCCTACGCTCTCGACAACGCCCTCTCCTCCCCGGACGTCGCCCTCTACCTCCTCTCCATCCTCAACGGCGCCTCCATCGTCGGCCGCATCGTGCCGAATTTCATCGTGCCCTACACCGGCATCCTCAACATGATCTGCGCCGCCGTCTTCGTCATGTCCATCGCCGCGTTCTGCTTCACCGCGACGGACAGCCAGGGCAGCTTGATCGCGGTCACGGTCGTGTACGGCTTCTTCGCGGGCACGTTCTTCGCGCTGCAGCCGACCACGTTTGTGCGGCTCACGGCCGACAAGAGCTACATGGGCACGCGGTTCGGTATGGCCTTCACGGTCATGTCGGTGGCCATCTTGTTCGGGTCGCCCATTGCGGGCGCGCTGTCGAGGTCGCATGGGTATTTGAGCGGGTGGATCTGGAGCGGGTGCTGTCTGGCAGCGAGCGGGGTCACGATATTTGTTGCGAGGGGGGTTTCGGGCGGGTGGAAGGTGAATAAGGTGGTTTGAGTTAGCTTTTATTTGTCTGTAGTGTAATATCATATTCCTAGCGGATGTTGAATTTTGATTCCATGCTTAAGTCGTGAGCGATAGCAGGATTCGAGAATGAGTTCTACTATACCTTCAAAAATGAACAGCCCAAATCTTCCCTTCAGCCATGTCTAACTCTGCCTTCGTGGATGAACAAACTGCCGGAAACGAAACCGAGCACACCTTCCAAAAAGTTTTGTTGCCCGAGATCCATCCATCACCAGCCTCGCCCACGCCCAGAGATAGAGACGCATAAGGCCACAATGTAGGAAGGAGGCTATACCAATACCAAACACCGAAGCTACCTACCGAAGGCTACCTGGTCATATCCGTGACTACCCGGAGATCGATCTGCTTTCGGGCCGTGACCAGGGCCCCTGCCGCAGCCCGGCAGTTTTTACCAAGCAAGGCACGCCAACAACACAGCCCGGAACAGACTCGGAACAACACCGTTCGATTCGATTTGGGATGTGACGACAGACCTGCCTCTGATGGTGCCTGTGGGGGCGCGGGCCATGCATAGCATCTTATCAGAGGGCATTGAAGGGGGCGGGTACGCCGTTCGGTGGGAGCCGCCGCTATCATGACTCGTCCCAAGGCTCCGCAAGGTGCAACCCGGCCGTTGTTTCTTCAGCAGCTTCGATATCCCACTCTAAGTTCTGGCTGATCTTTTGCCGGGGGAGGCATCCGTACACGCGCTGCATGGAGCCAGGTTTTGCCTAGATACATATGCAGAATGAAGCTTGCAATGGCCGTGTAAGGTTGCACTGGCAGGGCTGCCCGTCAAGCTTGATGGATGATGGCGCAAAGTATCTAGAATATGGCGGGGGATGGTGGGAGGGATGTGCTGTGTAGGTATGTTCCTGCCCCTCCCCTCCCCTTGTCGTCGTCGACTGCCGGGGAGGGAGTATATAAGGCGACCAGTCGAGGAACTTCAAGTGCGAGGAGGTCGCGTTCTCGGGAAGCTTGTTGCGACTTACACGTTCTGAATATCTATTGAAGAGGTCTTTTTATTATATTGAATTTGAAATCTTTAAGGTGAAATTCAAACCAGTAGTATCACTCTTGTGAAAGATGTCGATCAAGACAGTCGCCGTCGTTGGTGTAAGCCAGACCCCCTCCCCCCCCTTCCCCTCCGCTTCAACGCGCTCACACCCGCCTCCCACAGGCCTCAGGCCTCGTCGGCCTCCGTGTCGTAAAGTCCCTCCAGGACCACGGCTTCACCGTCACAGCCATCTCGCGCACCTCCTCAACAGCGACGTTCCCCGCGGGCGTCGCCGTCCGCAAAGCCGACCTCGCCTCGGTCGAGTCGCTGACCGCCGCGCTCGCGGGCCAGGACGCCGTCGTCTCGGCCATCTCGACCGTCGCGGCCGTCGTCAAGGGCGCGCAGGACCCGCTCGTCGACGCCGCCGTCGCGGCCGGCGTGAAGCGCTTCATCCCGTCTGAGTACGGCCTCAACACGCGCAACCTCAAGGGTGAGATCCTCGGCGACTGGCTGATTGCCAAGACCGAGGCGGTGGACTACCTGATTGAGAAGGCGAAGGCGCATGAGGGGTTCACGTGGACTGGGATTGGCACGAGTCTGTTCTTTGATTGGGTGAGTTATCCTCTTTTGCTGGCTTTGAGGGACGAGCTGTGCTGACGACGGACGGGCAGAGCATCACCCGCGGCATCTACGGCATCGACCTCGCGAATAAGAGCATCGACATCTTCGACTCGGGCAACCAGAAGGTGTCGACGACGTCGCTGGTCTTCCTGGCCGAGGGCATCGCGGCCGTGCTGAAGCACCCCGACGAGACGGCCAACCAGTACATCAACATCATCGAGTTCGACGTGACGCAGAACCAGCTGCTCAAGCTGTTTGAGGAGGAGACCGGCGCCAAGTGGACGGTGAACCACAAGACCGCCGACGAGGTCAACGAGGAGGGCCAGAAGAAGCTGGCTGCCGGCGGACGCTTCCCGTTTGAGGAGTTTCTCATCAAGTACCACTTCGCCGACGTGCCCGGCCACTCTATTCCGGAAGAGGGCAAGGCGAATAAAGTGCTGGAGCTGCCGCAGAGCGACCTGAGGAAGTTCGTGAAGGGATACATTAAGGAGAACAGCAAGTAAGAATAACGAGTAAAAGTGAAACAGTTAATTAGCGAACTATCAACAAGGTAAAAGTCGGTCAAACGTTGTATGCATTGGTGATAACTGAGTGCAAGTTAAAATCTACTACATGATTCAAGGCGGGTTTCGAGGTGTGGGTATTTACAGTACATGTGTGATTGTTGAGCACTAACAGACCGTTATCGTCGAGTGGGGCGCTATTCACAACGATTTATCGCACCAAGCCCAATCCATCGAGCAGTTTGAGTCCATGGTGTGAATTGGCGTGAGCAGGCTGCGGCTGCTGCCTAACCGCGATTTAGTTTCCTCTTTAGAAACAAATCACGTGGGGCTTTTGTCTTGTCATCGACCAAATGTGTACGTTCTCCAACGACATAAGTAGTGCCGTCGCGCAATCAGTGGCTGACATAGATCCAGCATCTCATTCGCTCGCACTCTCACGTTATCTCATATCTCCTTTGGAGAGCTTCTCTACATCTTTCATCGTTCAGCAACTTGTTCATCGCGCTCTCTGTTGAGCTCAATCCTGTCATGGCGGACACCGCTCCCAAAGTTGCCGAAAAGGAACGCCGTGAGGCGCCAGAGTCGGTCGAAACAAAGGCGAGACAGCTGGCGGACAGAATTAGGAAGAGCAAGCACTTTATTGCGTTTACAGGAGCCGGCATCTCCACGTCCGCTGGTCAGTCCATGTCTGAGATGATTCTGTGGTGGGACGAAATCCTACAAACGTCTTCTAACGAGAGAGCGATCCAGGAATACCGGACTTCCGAGGTCCTGAGGGCGCGTGGACGCTCAGAGCTCAAGGGAGACAACGGGTCGGGAAGACGACGAGCACACTGCAAGCTATCCCGACGCCCACTCATATGGCTCTGGTTGAGCTGCAGAACCGCGGGCTGTTGAAGTACCTCGTCAGCCAGAATTGTGACGGGCTGCACAGGAGAAGCGGCATGTTGCCGGTAAGTTGCACTGGTCGTTGCGATGACAATAACTACGGGCAGCTAAACCGCATTCATAAAAGGAACGGATTTCTGAGTTGCATGGCAATAGCAACAGGGAGTATTGCAAAGACTGCGACAAGGAATACCTTCGAGGTACAAGCCATTCCAGTAAACATCATCGGAACCGCTGGGCTAATGATGTCAGACTTCCGAGCTGTGTCGACATTTGAAAATTCCATTCACGATCACCGCACCGGACGCAAGTGCGCGAGATGCGGCGGCGTCCTCCTCGACACCATCATCAATTTCGGCGAAAGTCTCTGGGAAGAACCTCTGTCACGCGCGCGCGAGAACGCGAGAAAGGCAGACCTATGTCTTGCATTGGGATCATCCCTCACCGTCAGCCCCGCGAACGAGATCCCGGAAACGGTCGGGAGGAAGAAGCGCAGCCGGACTTCTGCCGGAGGGCAGCTCGCAATCTGCAACCTCCAGAGCACACCGATAGACGAGCTGGCGCAGTTGCGAGTGTGGGCCACCACGGACGACTTCATGATCCGAGTCATGAAGAATCTCGACATACCAATCCCGGTGTTCATACTCCGCCGCCGGCTGTCGATTGAGTTCCAGACCGTCGGGGAGGGACGGCACCAGATTACCGTCTGTGGCGTTGATGTTGACGGGACCCCGGTGACGTTTCTTCAGTCGGTCAAGCTTGCGTACAACAGGCGCGTCGCACGATCCGAGCCGTTTGTGATTAACTTCCGCGGCGATATTGAAGTAGGGACGCAGTTTGAGCTTGAGCTTGAGTTCATGGGCCACTATGCTGAGCCGAACTTGATGGTGTCGTACGAAGTCACGGGCAAAATGGACGAGAAGGTCCTGCATCTGCTTGAGTACAATCCGGCTACCAGAGAGTGGAAGACGAGTAGGTTGGTTGAGGACGCGGCAGCCGATGTTCAGCAAGGGGGTGCTGGTGATGTCAACGCGTTTGAGGATCTCTCAATTATTGATCTTACGTCAGATTGAGCATGTTTTGTACTGGGTGAGAAAGTTGGGCTGCATTTAAAAGTAAACTCGTGTGGTCGAGGCTTCGTATGTATCTTAGCCTCTTGGGCAACAAACATCTCATGCTCGGAACTGATTCGAAACTACCTCTCGTTGCAAGTTTGAACGAGGAAAGAGTCTCTGGGGCGGTTGGTGACGGCGTCTTTGTTGCTATCTGACTGACAGCCAAGCACCCTGAATTCCAAAGAAAACTCCTTGGAGTGTTCCATCTTTTCAAGAATTTCTTGCCGCTTCAATATATTAAGGCAAAGGTGAGCCATCACGGCCCGACGCTTAAATTCCAGAACTTAACGTCGTGAATGCCACAGAGAGCTAAACGTCTGGTCCCATCACTGCAGTCGGGACCCATCATGTCACGAACGGCAAGTTGCTGGGCCTTGGAACATGGTGAGTCAGCGGGGGACGCATCGGTGCAATTTGTTTCAGGGTTCTTGGATTTGCTCAGTGGTTAGCACGAGTGAATTGCGTTAAAATATTAGCGAGTGTATTGAGAAGCACGTTTGTCTCCGTCGACCACCGACGTATGTTGCTCATTGACAATCAAATTTACCTTATCCCAGCAAAACCTCTTTCCATATTGGACCTGGCGAATAGCTGTGGTCGATGTGTGAAAGCGAGAGATGACCCAATCCCTTCCGTTCCGCTACTGTTTTGCTCTGGTCCAAAAGCATAACATTGTAAAATATGGACAGGCCATCTGAAGAATCCTCTTCCGTATGCTCCGATAGTAGAATGACCTCAACGGGATCGTTGGAATCATTGAAGGCTACTGACTCCAAACCATCAACCCTAACACTACCGTAGCTGCGCCCATCCTTTCCAAAGAACGAGCCAATCCCACCGATTGCATCCTCGATGGATATTCGG